GTCACCTTAAATAAAAATCTCTTTATTATTATTATTACTATTCGAATTTGTTTTCGAAAAATAAAACAGTAGTTACAAAAACAGTAATAATAATAATACTAATAATAATAATAATAAACGATGCTAACAAGGTCGTGCAAGTCGTAAAAAAAAAAAATTTCAAAACGTTTCCGGTTAGTTAAAAATGAGAAATTAATCAAATTAAATCGCAGGGATGTCCAAAGTCTCAAACGACGACGACGAGAATTTTATTTTTGGAAAGAAAAGGTGGAAGTGTTGGTGGCCGTGGTGGCGGTGGTGGTAGCGGCGACGGCGGTGATGGTGGTAGTACCTGATCGTATCATATTCGTGATTTTCTATTTCGAAACATCCTTCCAAAAACCGAGTCATGCCAGAAAAAAAAAAAAAACAATTGTAAGTCGGTTCTTAAACGCTTTCACTTTATTATTATTATTATTATTATCAATGATATTATTTTGTGTTGTTTGTTTCGTTCCACGACGTAACGATCGATCGATTATTTAAAGCATGTGATAAATTGTTATAAATGAATTTTTACGGTCGAACGTACGCACACACGCACACGCACGCACAAGAGGATTAACATCGACGACGAAAAATAAAAAACCGTTGGTTAACTGTTAACTAGCGGAAAAAAAAAAAAAAATCCGTTTGAAAAATTTTTTTGTTGTTGTTTAAACGCATGAGAGTGTGTGTGCGTGTGCGTGTGCGTGAGTGCGGGTTTTGAGTGTGAGCATACAAAAAAAAAACGAATGTGGAATAATTCACATGATTCAATTTAAATTTTTTTTTTTATATACGAGAAACGGTGAGAAAATTTAATTCGTTTCTGTCTGTCTCTCTCTCTTTCTCTCTCTCTGCTTGCTTCTCTTCTCTCTCTCTCTCTCTCTCTCTCTGTCTCTTTCGTAAACGAGAATCGCTTAAGAATTTTTTTTTTTTTTTTTTTTGTGTTTTTTGATTACGATTTGAAAAATTGAAAATAAATTGAAATTATTTTTTTTTTCGTGTGTCGTCGACCCATTCGGTCGTCGTTCGTGTGTCTGAGTGTTGGTGCCACTTTGAAAAATGTGGCATTAGGAGGCAGTCGATAAATCGATCGATCGATCGGTCGACCGACCGACGGACGACCGCATTACATTTTTATTTAATTTCATTTGATTTTTAAAACGGATTTTAAAATGGCGGAATTTTTTTTTCTCTGTCTCTTTCTTTCTCTTTTTCTCTTTTTTTTTTTTTTTTTTTTAATTTTCGAACGTCTGAACGTTAGAACGAACGGTGTTTTTTGTTACGCGGCGGAACGAAGAAAATTATACAATCACCGCCCCCCGCCTCTTTTTTTTTACCTTTCTGTAGTTTTTCCTTCTTTGCCAGGCTCGTCACTGCACCCCTCTTCGTAACAAACAAGGAAAAAAAAAAAATTAAACACGGACAAAGGTCTTTCGGGGGGAAGGGAAGGGGAGAAGAGTTTAGTTTTTTTTTTTTACGTTGCCGCCCCGCCGGCCCGCCTCCCTCCTGTTTTCTCCCCATTACGTAAAAAAGGTCAGAATTTTAAATCAGTAATAAAATATTTTGGGCGAGAATTTAAAATTTTCAAATTCATCCGATTGTTTTAAACGATTCGATTGTTGTTTAAAAAAAAAAAAAAAACACGAAATTTTTGCCGTTGTTGTTGTTTGTTGTTGTCGAGTGTCAAAGTTCGCGAACTCGTGTCATCAAGAAACCTGAATAAATTTGCGTGTATTAATTTTTATGTAATGAAAAAAAAAAAAAAAAAAATTTTAAAAGAAAAGCGGAAAAAGAGAAACGATTGGAAAATTAATTATTTTGTAAAAGAGTGAGAAAGGGGGGAGAGAGAGAAAAAGTTTTCTTTTCTTTTATTAAACAAACTTAAATTAATTTTTCCGACACGGAGAATAATCAAAAACAAAAAAAAAAAAAAAAACGAACAAACCGACGGCCGCCGCCGCCGTCGGCAACAACAACAACAACCGGAAAATTTTATTATTATTATTATGAAAACGAAACAAACGAACAAACAAACAAACAAACGGTTTAAAAAAAAAACGGAAATATTGTTATTATTTATTTATTTTATTTAAACGAGTCGGATTTGATTTATTTAGGGAAATTTTTTTTTTTTTATAAATAAAATTCCAGGGAACGTTTTTCAATCGTTTTTCTTTTTTTTTTTTTTTTAATTTAATGTCTGCTGGAACGGCGTCTACTACTACTACCGTTCCAGCATGAACCGTTCCAGAGTCAACCGGAAAAAAGTGGGGGGCGGGAAAATTTGATTTAATAATTAATTAATTGTGAAATTTTAATTTTTTTATTTTTTACTTTGTTTGTTTGTGGGAAATTAAATTATTTAAAATAAATTTATATCGTGGCATTAGGAAGCCTACCACCACCACTTCTTCTTCTTCTTCCACGTACAATCAATCGTTCCGATAGGTTCTGTTTTTTTTTTTTTTTTTTGAGCATATCGCAGTTAACGTGTCCTTACCTTGATTTCTTATCTTTGTTGTATTTATTTGTGTACCTACTACCTTTACCGTGACTTTGATTTCTTTTAAATGATTTATATTTGCTTGCCTTTTATTATTATTATTATTATTAATAAAAAACACTGTTCGATTTATTATTATTATTATCAATGACAAACGCAAACGCAAACACGCATTTGGACAACGTTATCGACGAGTTTAAATTTTTGTATTTGAAATTTTTGATTTGATTGTTTATTATTCAAGGTTTTTTTTTTTTTATTATTATTATTTTAAAAAATCTGGAGTTGTTTTTGGTGAAAAATGTGGGGGGGGAGGTGATAAGGAAAATAAAAGATAAAGATGAGGAGGGGGAGAGAGAGTGTTGAAAACGGTTATCGACAGATGTAAATGAAAAAAAGGTCTGAATTTTTGATAGTCGGTATATATCGCATTGAGTGAAGATATCCATAAATTCATTCGTGATAAGGAAAATTTTTTTTTATCATTCGTTTTCACTCTCTTTCTCTATGTCTATCTCTCTCTCCCCCTGTCCCTCTCTCCCATCTTTCCCCCCTCTCTCTCGCTTCTTTCGCTCGTTTGCCATGTTGTATTTTATTTCCTTTTGGGTTTTAAATCGTTTTGTCGTCGTTGTTTTCGGATGGAAGAGGCTGGAAAAATGAAATTCTAAAACCACGACGAATTGTCGACACTCATGAACGTGTATTTAGAAAAATGAAAAAGAAAAAAAACGAAAGAAAGAGGAAAAAAATTAATATTTTGGCTGTTAAAACAGGTTCTCTCGTCCGTTTGTTTGTGCGTTCGAGCAAATTTGCCAAAAAATATCATCATCATCATTATCATTATTATTATTATTTTATTGTAATTCTTTTTATCATTCTTTTTATGTAATTCATTCCGGTAGCCAAAAAAAAAAAAAGTAGGCTTGAAGGGGAAGGGAAGGGAAAAGAGGGCGAAAACAAGGAAGCGGGAGGAGGAAGAAGGTGAAACAAAAAAAAAAAGAAAAAATGTGCGAAATAAAATAAGAGAGAGAGAGAGAGAGAGATGGAGAGACAGACAAGCAGGGAGAGAGAGAGAGAGGAACTTGATTAAAATTAAAATACCATTAGAGTTTGAATTATAAACGTCACGAAAACACGAGTTTCTGTTTTAAAGAAATTTCGGCCGGATTTAAACCGGAAGTCGGCGGTATTCGCTCTATGAAGATTTATTGCTCTCTTACAAAAAGGGGATATCAAATTTTCTACAAGGAAAATTCCTCTCTCTCTCACTGTCTCTTTCGGGTCGTAACTTTTCCTGTTTTTCTCTCTCTCTAACTCGAATTTTTATACCTTCCTTCGAATTCCTTCTTTTTCTTTCTTTCTTTCTTTCTCATCGTTTTCATTTTTTCTTTTTTTTTTCTAGCAACGGTTTAATCCGAAAGTAAATTGGTCTTTTTAATTTTTACAAAAAGGTTTAAACCTTTTTCTCTCCATCTGTCTCCCCCTTCCTCCCTCCCCCACACACACACGCATGGCCGTGCGGTAACTCGAGAAAATGGTAAATAAAGTCGTGGTATTAGTTTGTTTTTTTTTTTCTCTCTCTCTCTTTTTTCATTTTCTTCTTTTCTTTTTACGTTTTCTTTATTTTATTTCCGGTCAAAATAGTTACTTTTTGTTGTTGTTGTTGAAAAATTTATCGAATTTTATTTTATTAATAAAAAAAAGGAGGATAAAAAGGTTGAATGAAGTAATCGAATAAAATTCTAAACAAAAAAAAATCGATTTTTATTTGTTTGTTTGTTTGTTTTGTTTGTTTTCTCTTATATATGTATATATTTTTTTTTTTCGTGTGGAGTTAACGGAAAGTGAAATCGCCGCGGGGAGTTTGCAAAAAGATTCCTGGAGAGTGAGAGAGAGAGAAAATTATTTATTATAAAAAGGGTTTTAATGGATAATCTATCTAACCGTGTTACGAAAAACAAGAGCGGAAGATTTTTTTTTTTGTTGTGTTTGTTGTTTGTCGTTTGTGTTTGTGTTTGTTTTACGAAAGAGAGTTATGAAAGTTGTCGATTCGAAAAGAATAAAAAAAGAAAAAGAAAAACTTTTAATATTGACAAAGTTAATAAATAAATTTTTATGTAAAAGTTTTTGTTCCCCTCCCCTCCCCTCCCCTTCTGCTCTTCATCTTCCACGTCGTCATCATCACCCACGTATCGAATTTTTGTTTGTAAAAAAAATTTTTTTTTTTTTTTTAAATCTGCTGCCACTTTATTTATTTAATTAATTTTTTTCCCCGCCCGACGGTGTTTGAATTGGGGGGGGGTAAGGGGGAATTGAATAACGGTCGACCCGAATTATTTTTAAGTTTAATAATGTAAAAATGGGACACACACACACCCACTCCATTCTCCGAAGTGACAAATTTTATTCGTTTGCTTGTTTGTTTTAACTCGTTGATAATTGTTTGTATTGTTTTGTTTTGTTTTTTCAGCTTACGGCAAAGTTTTTCTCGTTCGTAAAAGAGGCGGCGTCGACGATGGACGATTGTACGCCATGAAAGTCCTTAAAAAAGCTACAATCGTACAAAAAAGAAAGACAACCGAGCACACAAAGACTGAGCGACAAGTTTTGGAAGCGGTTCGACAGTCGCCATTTTTAGTTACCCTCCATTACGCCTTTCAAACGGAAGCAAAGCTTCACCTAATATTGGGTAAGTTTATCATTATTATTATATTTTAATTGGTTCCGGGAAAAGGAAAAGCGTTCGGGGGAAGAGCATTCATTCGGGTTAAAAAAAAAAGATTTTTCCGCCGACGGGAAATCTTCAAAAAATTTTTTTTTTTTTGTTATCCGAAAGGTGGATTATAAAAGCGTAGGCGGATGATTGGACGGGATCGGGATTGATGAATGGATTAGGTTTTCGGGATTAAATGGGATTAGAAAAGTAGGATGATAATATTTACCAAGAGAATTTTCTTTTTCCTTTAAATCCCACGACAATTATTTTATTCTTTTTTTCTTCATCTTCATCATTTTTTTTTTTTCGCTAATCTGACGATCGACGATGATGCGTGACGCAATGACGACAAACATTTTCCCCCTCCGCCATCTTTTTTTTTTCTTTCAAATATTTTTAAATTTGTTCGAATTCGTCATTTCCAAACAGAAATTATCAGTTTTGATTCCCGTGGTAAAAATCGTTGCCATCGTTCGAACGTGATTCTTCAACCTCTTTGATTTTGTGACGTCATCATCATCTTCTGCTGTTGTTGCTGTTACTGCTGCTTCTTTTTTGTAATTTTGCGTTTGAGTGTGTGCGTGAGATCGAGTAATTAAGAAAAATTTTAATTATTATCTCTGTCGAAAGTCATTTTAAAATACATAGAAAAAAAAATGAGACTGGTTGTAATAATAATAATAATGATGATGATGATGAGGATGATGATGATAATGATAATAATAATAATATCGAGTAAGGATTTGATGAAATGAATACGATCGCTTTCAGATTGTTTTTTTTTTTTTTTCTTTTTAAACAAAGTTACGTTTTGAATTATTTTTTTTTGTTTTCCTTTTATTTTGTTTGTTTGTTTGTTTTGTTTTGTTTTATAACTTTGTTTTTTTTTTGTTTTAATTTTAAAAATCAATTTTTGACCTTGTTGTGTTAATGTTTGGCGCATGCGCAGCGAGAACATGAAACGAGATTTGACACTTGCGCGATTATCACTTACTAACTACACGCGTTCGTTCGTGAAAAGTAACGTACTTGATGGAAATAAAGAGAGAAAAAAGAAGAAGGAGGAAAAAAAAAACGTGTAACTAACGACGTTTGTAAAACGACGATGCGTTTCCTCCCCCCCCTCTCTTCCCATTCTTTCTCTTTCTCCTTCCACGTTCTTCTTTCTAACGAAAACCTATTTTAAGTAGATTTATATATGTAGGGAAAAGAGTTAGGGAAATAAGGGAAAAGAGAGATGAAAAGAATAAAGCGAAAATGTAATAGAGTAAAAAGGGAAAGTAATAATAATAATAATGATGATGATAATAATAATAATAATATATATAAAATCCGTATACAACTTTCACTTATTAATAATTCAGTTTAATATATAAATAAGAGAATGTTCGAGAAATTGTTTGTGACGTTCATGTGTGTGTGGAAAAGAAAACATGGGCATTCGTTCGCGTAATGTCTCTCTCTCTCTCTCTCTCTCACTCTCTCACTTTTTTTTAATATTAATAATGATAATAATCTTTAGAGTTACGCAACGAACGAATATTTATTTGAAAAAAAAAAAAAAAAAAAAAAAAAAAAACGTGAGAAATTAAAAACGTGGAAAAAGACTCCGACTCCGACGTTGACAATTTTTTTTTGTGTGTGTGTCACGCAGCGTAATCTGGGCGGCTTTGATATGAAAACACTGCGAAAAAAAAAATGACCGAAAATATGCGATCGTCAATTAGTGACACGACAAAAGGGTTTTTTAAATCCTTTGAAAACGAAAACAGAACCGTTAGTGCGCTGCGACACGTTTCCGCGTTTTTGACATGCGTACGCTGCGTAAATATCACGACGACGACGACGACGACGCAATTCAATGAAAACCACTTAATTAGTTTTTTAATTAGTTTTTTTTTTTTAAATAAATAAATTCATAGGATAAGGTCGAAGATTATTATCATTATTATTTAATTATTATTAGAAAGGAGAGAAAAATTCGAAATGGGTCGCGCACGTTTTTTAGAGAGAGAAAAAAAAATGGGGGATCGTTCGCCGGGATAAATAAAATAATAATAATAATAATTACGATGATGATAATGATGATGATGATGATGAATAAGCGAATGATTCCGACCCTGAACGACAATTAAAATTTTCTTTCGTCGTTTGTTACGAATTTTTTCTTTTTGCGTGTGTGTGCGTGCGCGTGTTTGTTTTCTCTCTTTCTCTCTCTCTCTCTTCAAGATTGGTTTACTTTTTTTTTTTTTTTTTTAAATAAAAAGAAGAGGAAAAAAAATGAGAAGGAGGAGGACGAAGGAAGGAGGAAAATTAGAAAAGATATGTTTGTTCTGACTGAAGTTTTTTTTCCTTCGTCACGCACACACTGGAAAAGTCGAGAAAGAAATTCCAGGCATCGTCAGTGGGAGAAAGAGAGAAAGAAAGAGAGAGAGAGAAAGTAATGCAGAAAGCTTGGCTTGTGACGAGCAACGAATGCATCTACTACCACGTGTATCGTTTCGTTAAGGACGAATTTTTTTCTTCTCTTTTTCTATCTCTCTCTGTTTCAGATTATCATTCTTTCTCTCTATCTTTCTCTCTCTTTTCTCGTATTTTTCTGAGATTGCTATTGAGCGAAGAAAATCCGTAGGAATTTTTTTAATATTTTTTTTTCAATGAAAATTTTTAAAAGAAGAGAAAAAAATGTCGTTAATTATTATTTAAAAGGAAAAAAAACAAGAAAAAAAAACGTGGCGTTAGAAGAGGTTAGGAAAAAATTTTTTTTTCTTTTTTTTTTTTTGTCGGGGGCGGAGAATTACCATTTTGTTTATGTAAGAAACTAGAAAGCCCCCGCACAAACGATTTTTGGAATTTTTAATGAAGAACCCGATTTACGAAAAGGGAAAATGTTTAAAAAAAATTAATTTGTATTTCTCTCTCTCTCTTTTTCTCTCTCTCTTGCTTCCAGGTACGCCGGAAATGAAGAAAATTTTTGATTTTTTTTTTTTTTGTTAAAAGTCGACGTGGCGGTCGATCGATCGTAGGTCCCCCATGTCAAAATTCACCCCCTCCCCCTTCACACATACTCTCTCTCTCACTCGAGTTAAACTTTTTTTATTTTATTTCCAAGTTTAATTGTCTTTTGCCACTTTAACGTGCCACACAGCGTGCGCAATAAATAAATAAATGAAAAAGGAAAAAGTGAAAAAAAAATTTGTTACAGTTGTTGCAATTTTAATTTTTAATCTCTCTCTCTCTCTTCATTTTCGGGTTTTTTTCTTACTTTTTGGGTCATCCATTTGGTAAAACCTCAATTCGAGAGAGAGAGAGAGAGAAAGAGAGAGAGTGAGAGAAAATGAATTTCAAGTCATTTTTTACGGTTTCGGGTCAAGGTTTTTTCTTTTTTTTAATTAAAAATTTTTTTTTTATGTCAAACTAAAAAATGGCAAAGACGACGACGACGACGATGACGGAGGTGGTGACGGTGGTGGTGACGTTGCCGGTGATGGTGCGAAAAAATAAATAGAAATTTAAAAAAAAAAAAAAATTTTCTTTTTTTATTATTGTTAATATTTAAAATTCGTCGAGTTGCGCCAAAATTGGAAAAAAATTCGCGTGCCTGATTTTTTTTTTTTTGGTTGTAGGTACAAACTTTCTATTTCGCCATATTTAAAAGATTTATTCAAGGTCGCGAAAATCCAAGGTGAAAATTTTTTTTTTATTTAAAAAATTCGGTTCATGCGTTGACGTGGGTCAAAGTCAGTCAGTCGAATGCAAAATTTTTTTTTCGAAAATGAGAAAATGGAGGGAAATTGTGGGGGAAGCTGGAGCGGGTAAAGATGAATGCGGACGCGAATGAATTGCTCAAAAAAAAAAAAAAATCGATTGATCGACGATTAGGTTTAACTTGTCCGACGTTACTGACCGTCTACCTACCCGGTGGTTGTGGTGGTGGTGGTGATTGTGGTCGTACCTGAAAATTTTCACGTTTATATATATATATATTTATTTAACAATCGTTCCGGATCAAAACTGGAAAACCTTGATTGAAAATAAATTTTTTAAAAATTTTATTTTAATGTCGAATATGTTCATATAACTGGATAAAGTATTTAAATTTTTTTTTTTTTGTTAATAGGTATTTATTATCATTATCATTATTATCATTATCATTATTATTATTATCATTATTATTATTATCATTATTATTATTATCATTATTATTATTATTATTTGTTCCTTTTCAAAATTTATTAAATTCGACGAGATTCTTGTTTGTTTTTTATAGTTTTTGAATTTTTTTCGTTCGATTGCATCAACTCGTGATTTTTCGCATCCTCTAACGACAGATCATCATCATCATCACCATCATTATCATTATTATTATTATTATTATTATTATTATTATTATTATTATTATTATTATTATTATTATTATTAAGGTTGTCTTTATTTAAAATCCGAAAAATAATTTGACGAACATTTAAGAGCGCGACGCGAGAGACACGTTTTTTTTTTTTTTTTTTTTTTAAAAAAATGACGACTTTTCATCGATTGGAATGTTTTTATAAAGTTCGCCATTTTGTTTTTCATTCTAACGGTTTTTTTAAAAATAATTTTTATCAGGTTGTCAGCCTGTAAATAATTCCAACTCTTTTTTTTAAAGATTTTTTTTTTTTTTTTGATAATAGCGAGCCCGAAATTAAAAAAAACGAAACGAAGAGAGAAACTAAAGATAATAATTACTCATTATACTAAAATAAAAATTTTTTTTTTATTTGTTTTATCATCGTCGTCGTCATTATTTTCCTTAGCTAATTCCACGTCGATTTCAACCAAGTCCTTCACCTGATCCATATATTTTCGTTGTCGTGTGCGTGTGTGCGCGTGCACGTGCGCGTGCGAGCTTTATTTTTTTTTAGTCGAAAACAATCGTTTGTCGTTTAATTTATTTATTTTTCCTTTTTTTACATTTAAATGTTCGATTTAATTTTTATTCTCAATGCGTAATTTTTTATTCATTATTATTATTATTATTATACTTGAACTCCGCCCTCCTTTCTCCCCTCTTCCCTCGTTCACGTTATTATTATTATTAGTATTAATATTCGTTTGTTTTGTTTTGTTTTTTTTTATTGTTAAATGCAAATTAAATTAATTTTTCTTTTTTTTTTTTTTTCTTCGTTCGTCAACCGTGACTTTTTGCTATTATTATTATTATTATTATTATTGTTTTTTCTCATATTTTCTGCTCGCACGATATTTTCGTTTTATTACGTACTGCCCCTGATATCGACAAAAAAAAAGAAAAAAAAGTTTTGCCAACATTTGAAATTAAAAAATTTTTTTTTTTTAAAGTTTCGATTCGAGAACGTTTTCCATTCGAGAGGGGAGGGGAGGGGAAAGAATCAATATATATTTGATCGGGTTTTAAGGTCGTAGTATTATTATTATTATTATTGACACATTTTTTTTCCCTCCTCCTCCTCCTTCTTCTCCTCCTCTGTGGATTATCCTTCCGCGGAAGGATTATTATTACTTTTCAAGGGTTGTCGTCCTTGAGAAAGTTTTTTTGGCACGGGTTCTTTCTTCTTTTACGACCTCCTTTCGAATTTTCCTTCTTTTTGATTATTTTTCCTCGTTTTTTTTATCCATCTCTCTTTCTCTCTCTCTCTTTCTTTTTTCCTTTCAATATCCTTAATCCCGAACCGAAAAAAAAAACGTTTGAATCTCCTTTTAGCCTCGTTCGAAATTTGCACTTTTTTTTAAACGGGTTTGATCTGTGATCACGCGCAAATGACGATTAGGGCAAAAAACGAAGCGATAGGCGAAATGACAGAAACAACAACAACAACAAACAACAAACACAGGAGCCGCGGCAGAAGCAGTCTCCTGCGTAAGCGCGATATGCGATTTTATTAAATTTTAGTTTAAAAAAAAAAAAAACAAGAAAAAGAGAGAAAAAAAAATTAAAAGTAGGAAATGATGATGAGAGAGAGAGAGAGAGAGAGAGAGAGAGAGAGATGGAAAAATCTGCCAACGAGGTTTAAAACTGGGTCAGTTGATTTTTAAAGAGATGGCGGACGATTCCATTGTGTCGTTTCATCTCTTTCAAATTCTTTTCTTTTCGTTCCCACTCGTTTTTTTTTTCTTCTCTCATTTAAGCCTCTTTTTTTTTTTTAAGGACTTTTCTATGATTTTTATGCTCTTTCTCGAAAGTTCTTTTTTCCCACCCGTTCTCCCCGTTCCTCCCTCCCTCCCTTCCTCTTTCTCGCCCCCCCCTCTCTCTCTCCTTCGTAATTTTTTTATTATTTTATTATTTTTTTGTAGCGTCTTTTATTTTTTTCGTCGTTTTTTTTAATACCCAAGTTTTATTATTATTATTATTCATACGAATAGAAAATGAAAAAGTGAGGTGGAAGGAAATTTTTTTCGGAGGGAGGGGAAGTTAGAACCGAAATGCGATGAAGTTAATAAATAAGGTACAACAGAAAAACGTTTGTGTTTTTTTCAAAAGGAAAAGAAAAAGACAAAAAAAGACAAATTATCATCATCATCATCATCATCATCATCATCATCATCATTATCATCACCGTCACCATCGTCGTCGTCGTCGTCACCATCGCCACCATTGTCGTCGTCATCCATGTTATTTATTTTATTTTAATAATGTCGGAAAACTTTTTTAATTTATCATTTAAAAAAAAAAAAAAATTTATGTCACTTCGAATTTTTTTTTTTTTTTGGGTGTTTAAGGGAGGGAAAATGTGGGGGGGGGGGTAAAAGAAGGGTGGAGGTAATAGAAGGGAAAATTTCGGACGTGGTCAAAGACAAAGAACAAAAAAAAAAAAAAATTTTTTTTTGATTTATTTGTATTAAACGGTACAACAACAACAACAGGAGAAGGAGGCGGAAAAACGCGTGATCGTGCGTGATCGTGAGTGTTCGTGCGGTCACCCCAGCGGGATTTCGTTTGAATGAACGAACCGTTGAGGATGATGATGGTGATGATGGTTTTTTAAGTGTTAAATGAAATCTATTTTTAAATCTCGTCAAAGCCAATTGTGCGACAGAAATTGTTTTTGTTCTTCTCCCGCATCGCATCATTTATAACAAAAAGGAAAAAAAAATTTTAATTTTTTTCTGTCGTCAATGCTGTCGTCGTCGTGGCACATCCTCTCGCTTTTTTCTCTAATCGTTCATAGAAAATTCTCCATAATTTTTTAATCTCAGTTGTAATAATAATAGTAGCAATAATAAAACTAATTCTGAAAAAACTTTTTTTCTCTTCCCATCTCTCTTTCACTCTCTCTCTCTCTCACTCTTTCACTCTCTCACTTTCTCTCTATATTTCACTCCGTGAAATTTTGTAATTTAAAAAAAAAAAAAAAAACTGATAAGTTGTTATAAATTTTAAATGTTTGCGAATGTTACGAAATTAAAATAAATCTCCGAAAAGTTTTTTTTTTTCTTTCGAAATTTAAAAAAAAAAGAGACGAGGGAAAGAGAAAGGAGGGAGGAATCGGGGGAAGGGGAGGAGAGGGAAAGGAGCGGAAAATAAGGGGAAAAATTATGAGTGAGGATGCGCGGAAAATTTTCTGTAAAAATTCGAACCTCCTTTTTCCATTGAGTTTTTATTTTTATTTTTTTTTTCAAGGTCACGTTAGGTTCGTCCGCGTATCCGTACACACATAATCGATAAATCTCGAAAGTTCAGGTTTTTAAATCGAACGATAAAAATCATAGAGTGTTTAAATGTAATTAATTTGAATCATAAGATAATATAATAACAATAATAATAATAAAAAACCCGTTACTCGTTACCTTTTTTTTTCCTCATTATATTATTATCATTATCATCATCATTATTATTGTTATTGTTACGAATAACGTTTTGTGTTATTATTATTATTATTATTATTATTATTACTATTATTATATTCATTTATTTAAAAATTCAGGTTTCGATCGAATCAAATATTCGTACGTACGCGCAAGAGAAAAAATTATAAACCAGAATGAAATGATTTGTCTACTGCTGTTGCATAAATTAATTTAAATAAAATAATGATAATAATGATAATGATGATAATAATAATATAATAAATAAATAAATAAATAAATAAATAAATAATAACGAGAAACTACTACGACGACGACGGCAACGAGAACGCGACAACCGTGGTGATGATAATAATAATAATGATAATAAATAATAATAATTATTACGAAACACTTGTTGCCAACTCTTGGAATTAATTTCCCATCAAAATAATAATAATAATAATAATGATAATGATATTCATTTTTTTTTTTTTAACGTCGGAAGGATCGCGAGTTATGGTTATGAAGGATTCGATGGAATCGATGGAATTTCAAATTCTTTTTTTCCTTCTCTCTCTCTCTCTTTCTGTTTTCTCCTTTTTTTCTCTCTCTCTCTCTCTCTGTTTCTCATTTATCGGTTTTTTCTTTTGCCAAATTCGGAAATTCATTAATTTTTTTTTTTTTTTTTTTTTTACGTTGCAGATTACGTGAGCGGCGGTGAATTGTTCACGCATTTGTATCAGAGAGAACATTTCACGGAAGATCAAGTCAGGATATACATAGGAGAAATAATATTGGCACTCGGTCACTTGCATAAGGTGAGTTTTTTATTTTATTAAAGGGGGGGAGGGGGTGAAGGGAGGGAAACCCAAGACTGCTGGGGAGGCCGGTCCTAAGGGTAGAGAATGAAAAAAGATATCGGAAAACAAGAGAGGGAGAAAGAAAAACGTATAAAAAAAACAAAAGTTTAACCGTTTGTTTCTCCGTCTCATCGTTTGTTTGTTTGTTTGTTTGTTTTCCTTTTTTACTGCTAAATGAGAAAATTGGGTGAAAAGAAAAACGAGAGAGAGACATAGAAAAACAGAGAGATTTCAAATTGAGTTTATTCTACATCAAAGAGAATTTAAAAAATAAAATTTATCGTGCGAATAGAAAGTGAAAGTGTTTTTTTTATATTTGGGACTTGTCAAATTGATCGTGTAATTAGATAAAAAATAAATAATTATAATTGAACGTGGTGGGAAGGGCGGAAGGGGGAAGGGGAAAAGGCGGGGGGATAAATAATTAATTCGTATCGGTTTCACTCTTTGCGTCCGTTTTGATTTTTTTTTTTTTTCCACGACGACGATGATGATGATGATGATGATGATGATTATGTTGATGATGATGATGATGATGATGATGTTGATGATAGTGGTAATTATTATCATTATTATCGTTTTGAAATGCGACGTGAATTTGTCGCGCTTTATCATCCTCTTCTACGATACGCTCTTTCAATATATAAAAGCATCCGTCGGAACCATAATAATAATAATAATAATGTAATGTTGTCAATATTTAAATTGCATAAAAAAAAAAAAAAAGTACTTGTTCAGAATGTTCAGGGTTGAGTTTTGTGTGTCAGTGCCACGATAATATTTTATTATTATTAATTCATCATGTGCTCTATTGCGTTATATGATGGAATTATTCTTGTTCCACTTTTTCAATTTTTTTTTTTTTTTTTTTTTTTTTTTTTCAAATGCGGAATGAGAGATGTTGTTCGATAATGTAACCATCCCTCCCTCCCTCCGTCCTCCTCTTCCGCCTCCGCCGTTGCATCCACCTCCTCCTCCTTGTTTTCCTCCTCCTTTCTAATTCCCCCGCGCCCCGCTTACATACGTACGCGTACTTTTTTTCTTCTCGAATTCGTGTCAATAGATGAATGTTAGTAAGTACGTTTCGAGTGACGTAATTTTTTTTAAAATCATTTTTCTCCTTTTCTGAAATTATTATTTATTTCGGTTTTATGAATTTTCTTCTTTCTCTTTCTTTTTGCATTTTCTTCTTGTTTTTCCATTCGCGTTCCCTTATGTTGGTCACGATGATGATGATGATGATAATTTTCAAGGTTTTTTTTTCGTAAAAATTTTCTTTAAGGTTCGTTGCAAGTCTCATTAAAGTGCATTAAAAATTTTATCGCCACCGTCGCTACCGCCACCACCGCCGCCGCCGTCGCTACTCCATTTTCGCACTTTTTTTCCCTTTCTTTTGTTTCGTTCGCATAACGTTTTTTTTTTTTTTTCACGGTTTTCGATTATGTGGGTTTTCACCTCGTTATTGTAAGAAAATTTAAAAAAAAAAAACATATCGCCGTTATTGGCGTAAAATGTTGCGGCGAACACATTGTTATTATTAATAACATTAAAAATAATAATAATAATAATAACAATGATGATAAAATACCTGCATCAATGAGAATCGACTCCCCTCATTTTTTTAAAAATTTATTTTCTCGCTATGTTCGTTTGTTCTCGTTTCCACTATTATTATTATTATTATCATTATTATTATTATTTATTTATTTATTTATTTATTTATTCTCGTTCCGAAACCGACCTCGATGTTATGTTTAAATAAGTGGAATGAAAAAAAAAAAAAAAATTTTTTTTAATAATACAGAAATGAAGAAAAAAAAAAAAACATAATTCATAAAAATTTTTTTTTTACAATTTACTATCATCATAATCATCATTATTATTATTGTGTTTGTTGTTGTTGTTGTTGTTCACGTTGTTCTTGTTGTTATTTATCGTGTTGTATTTAAATTGTTTTATTATTATATACTTTTGATTCGGTTCATAAAAAACAAACGAACGAAAAAAAAAGAAAAAAAAAAGTTTTATTTTTTTTTTGAAGTTGTTTGTTGTTTGTCGTTGTTGTTTAATTGATTGTCGTAGTGGAAGGAAAGCCTCGAGGGATCGTCGTGTGTGAAAATCAAATCAAAAAAATTAAAAATGTTGCTACATTTAACTTTTTTTTTTTTTTTTTTCGTAATAAATAATAAAACGTGACGGAATCGCAAAAATGGCGAATGGCGACGACGGAGAAAAAAAAATACCACGAGATTCGAACGGAAGCGAGGGTAACGCGAAAGAACAAAGAGAGACGAGTGGGAAACAACAACTCGCAGTGTTACAAACGTACTAAAAAAAAAAAAAATTACGAATTAAAAACAAAACCGGAAATGACGATTTAACGGCAACAGATTTTATTTACGCGCGTGACTCGTTAATACGATCAATTTATGAATTTTTTCTTTTGTTTCGGTTTTATCGTTTTAAATCGACGTTTAATTATTATTATTATTATTAACTTTTTTTTTAAAATTTCGATTTGAAATCCGGTTCGTGGTAACGACAGCGACAGTGACAAAGACAAATTCCAGACTGGAATTTTACGGATTGCGATTTTTTGATTCCTTCTTTCTCTCTCTATCTCTCTCTGTCTTTCTCTTTTTTCTCTTTTTCGACCGTTACTGTTCTTTGGTAGAATTAAGTAACGATAGCAATGAATAATGATAATGATGATGATTTAAAAAAAAAAAAAATGGCGACGGCGGCGGATTTTCGTTTTTCAGATTTTTTTTTTTTTTTCCAATTGACGAACGGGTTTCCTTTATTATCATTATCATTGAAGTTAAAATGAATTTAAAACTTGCTTGTTGTCGAGAGTGGTTATGAAACCGAATACTAAATTCGTTGAGAGAGAGAGAGAGAGTAACTTTTGTAACATGAAATGTTTTTAAAATGTGTCGAATGGGTGGCATTGAACGGTTTTTTTTTTTTTTTTTTTTTTAAATAAAAAATCAACATGAATCGGCCTTGCCATCCAATCAGGGTCACGTGGTTATAAATGCCGAAGAAGAATTTGCAATAATAATTATTATTATTTTCATTATCATTATTATTATTATTTTTTCGAACGATAAATATTCATTAACAAATTTAAAAAACCAAAAAAAAAAAAAAATGTCGAGAGATCAGGTTCGAATTCAGGATATATCAATTGTAAAGGAAGAGGAGGAGGGTGGGAGGGAAGGGAAGAAAAGGGAAGGTGGGAAGGAGGGGAATCCCCGAAAAAGAAACAAAAACAAAATGGCGATAAGTATTTGTTGTAGTATAAAAGCAGTTTCGTTTCAGTTTTTTTTTATTTTTTAATTTTTTTTTATTATTATTATTTAAAATTACGAAAAGTTAATTTAAAAATTTAAATAATTAAAAAAAACCGAAAGAAAACGAAAGGGGACGGAAGGGAACGAAGTGGAAGTGGAAGCAGAAAAAAATTTTTTTTTCTTTTTTTAACCTTTTTTAAAAAAGTTTTTTTTAATTAAGCGCTAATTAGATTTAATCTCGACCTTCCTTATTAATGAAGTATGACTAAGAAAAGGAGAGATGGAAAAAAAAAAGATGGCGGTACCTATGATGATGATGATTATGATGACTGCAAAGTGAATTTTTAAAAAAAGAAAAAAAAATTTAAAAAACAAACTCGAGATTTTTCTTGTTTTTAAACTTGTTAAACAGGTAATCGATCAATCAATCAATCAGTCGGTCGGTCAGTCAGTCGATAAATCGATCGATCGATCGATATTTACCTGTTTTGTAAATTTAAACAAAAAAAAAAAAAAATCGTTGATGACGCGTGATCGACTTTTATCGTGGAAGGAGAGGAAGATAAAAAATTTGAATGTACTCTCGACGTAGGAATCATCATCATCATCATCATCATCATCATCATGATCGTGAAATTGTTTATTAATTTATTTCGAGAAAAAAAAAAAAAAAAGAAAAAAGCAGAAGAATTTTCCATAATTTTATTTACCATTTAAAATTTAAATTTCAAATTTATTTAAAAAAAAAGAGAAAAAATTTCAAGGTCAAAATGTCGGTTGGTGTCATAGAGAAGAACGTGTCGCGCACGCACGCACGCATACACGCACGATCAAAGAGGGAAGGGAGAGGGAGAACAGAAAAAAAGGAAAAATTGCGGCGGAAAAAGGAAACGGATAAAAAAGGAGGGAAAAAAGGTTTTTCGGTTGTCGTTGTCGTTGCGGTCTTTAATTACGCGCGAAACCTTTTTCGAAACCTTTTTCGAAAAGTAATAATAATAATAATAATAAACCGAAAGTAAAAAAAAATAAAATGATGATAATAATAATAATAATAATAATAAAACATCAAAGCTGAGTTTTTTTTTCTACCCTTTCAGGTTTTATTTTTGTACGTTTGAAAAAAGGAAATAACGACGGTTTTACGTCGTCGCCATTTTTAAAAACGGAAAAAAAATTTTTTTTTTTTATAAACCGGAAATAAACGATGTTTGATAATTTAATGAAAGGAACCAAAAAAAAAAAAAATGGCGGAAAATTGTTATGACGATCAAACCGGCGGAAAATGTTTTTTTTTCTTTTTTTTCCTCTCTTTTTTTCCAATTTTTCCCGTCTGGACAAAAAAAAAATTTTGAAAAAGGACAAAGTTGGGAAAAGCTTCGTTTGTTTGTTTGTCGTTTGTTTTTTTTAAAAAAAAAATTGTTTTGTTTGTTTTTGTTTTGGTTTTTCTATCAAAACGTTACGAAAAAAAATTTTTTTTTTCTCTCCTCTCAAAGCTCAAAAGGTTTTGTGGCGATTTTTATTTTATTTTTGATTTTAAATTTTTCGTTTGTAACCTTTTTTGGTTTCGTGATAATTGGGTCGATTTGAAAATTGGAGAGTCTATGGGGGATGGGGAAGGAGGGGTGAGATCGGGTAAAAAATTGTCGGAAAAATGGGAAGGAA